TGTGTCTCTGCCTCTCTCTCTCTCTCTCTCTCTCTCTCTCTCATGAATAAATAAATAAAATCCTTAAAAAATAAATAAATAAAACAATAAATAAAACTGCAATTTCCCTCCCCAACTTATTATGATCCTTCTTACCCCATTCTCTTGTTCTCCATAGCACTTGTCACCTACTTGTACACTTCCTCATTTCCTTGTTTGTCTCTCTGTCTAGCATGTGAGCCCCAAGAGGGCAGGAATCTTTGTCTCCTGTGCCTAGTGCTTGGCATGTGGCAGGTGCTCAGTGAAGGCTGATCTCTTTGCTCCCAATGATTATTCTGCTCTTCTTGCCTTTCAGACCTCTGCTTGGGTGTCACTTCCTCAAGAAAGCCCTCCTTGCCCTCAGCCCCAGTCCAACTGCACCCTAAGCTCTCCTAACGCTCTGATACCTCTGTGTCCCCAGCACACGGCACAGGGCCTGGACTAGAGATGATGCCCAGAAAGTGTTTGCGGAAGGAAGGGCTTGGTGGAGGGCCCTCACCGTAGCCTCTGGATGTTGGATGACACTCCTGAGAGCCGGTAGATTCCATCCACCACCCCATGGGCCTCAATAAACTCAGAGCAGCAGCGAAGTACCTGGGGCACTGGGAGAAAGCAGGGGCTCAGGACTGGGCAGGTTGCACGAGTGGGAGGAGTGGCCTGGGCAGGTAGACGTGGGGCCTCACCATCCTGGCCTGAATTGCTGAGGTGCTCCCCAAGATCACAGCCGAACACCCTCTGCCGCAGGATGCCCCGCTGCCTCAGCCGCTGCCGAGAAGGGCGGGAGCGCATGAAGGTTCGCAGGAGGCCGGCCAGCTTCCCACGTGGCCGGGGCACAGCTGTGGGGGTAAAGGCACGCCATAGAGGGTCAGTGCAGCAGCTGGTCTCATGGCAGGGGTGGGGTGGGGGAGTGGGGGGTGAAGGGGTTGGGGGGCAGGGGCCTGGCCTCTTGTTCCCATTACCTGAGGTCAGAGAGGAGACACCCTGGGGCGTTGGGACACCGCAGGGGGGACCATCAGCATCTGTGGGGCAAACAATGGGTGAAAAGAATGGATGACAGGCAAGGATGCAGGGAGGCCTCCTCATTTTGCCCCTGGTACTTACCCCCCTTTAGCCCTGGACCAGGCCGCTCTGTGAACAGTTCCACACACTCACTGGGGAAGAAACCAACCTGTGGAGGGTTTGGGGTCTGTGAGTGGGCCGCCCTAACTGGTGCGGTACCCTGCCCCACCTGTCTACCCAAGCCAGACTCACCTGGAAGCCCCGTTTGCCCCGCCACCAGCTCCGATCCTCCGTGGGTGGCATGTCGATCACTGAGACAATGTCGCCCACCTGGGAGCCAGAAGGTAATTGGAGGGAGGGTCAGAAGGGACAGGAGTGTGGGCAGCCCAGCTGGAGTCTGCTTCCCCACAGCCTCACCTCGAAGGACAGCTCGTCTGGTGCCTGGGCCGTGTACCGTTTTATTACGTGCGCAGCAGCCACCGCAGGGATGTTCAGGGAGGCTTCCTCACTGAGGAGCAGTCGGCGGCCATGGTTGTCCAGCTGAGATGCAGAGAGGCCAAAAGGACATAATAAAGGCAGAGAAGATTCCTTCATGCCTAGTGGAGGCCACTACCTGTCCCCTATCTAAGAGCCTGTCGGTCACTTATTGGTCAAACACCGAAATCCTTGCCCAACAAAGCCCCTCCTTCCCTCTCACATCCCAGGATGCCCCTGCACCCTCATCCTCCACAGCAGACACCGCACATTTGCTATCTGAAAACCTACTGGTCCGAGCCACTGTTGGCCAGGTGTTCTAGGAGTTACAGTCACATCTATTTCTAACCGATATATCTTCAAATTCTCACATCCCCATAGTCCAGAGCCTACTAACACACACACACACACACACACACACACACACACTCAACACACACTCATTCTCCCTCACAGCCATGTGCCCACACAGACACCGAAATACCAGTGCCTCCTCCACTCTGGCTCGTTTCTTTCCTGTGCCCACACACACTCAGACTGTGAGTTCTCCCTCCTCAGACATCCCTCTCTCACTTCAACTCCCAGCTCCCCTTCCCACCTCCATCCAGGTAAGCACAGGCCCACAGTTGAGGTTACTGTCCACCAGGCCTGACAGGGTCTCCAGGTATTGCAGCAGCAGTGGTACCAGCATCTGAGGGCAGGATATCAGGGTGGGCTTTTGTGAGGGGACCTTGAGAGAGTTTGCTGCCCTCCTATCTTGCCCTAGCTCACCTCTGGGCAGGGCTGAAATTCAGCCTGAATGCATGGGTTCTGTTCCACTGGTAAGACCGAAATATTTTCGTGTCAGTCAGTGGACAGGCTCTGACAAGCTCCTGTGTGCCCCCACTGGTCTGGGCCATGCTGACTCTCCCACCAAATCCCCTGGAATTCCTCATGATCCTAAAACTGAAAGGAGCCTCCCTGCTGCAGTTTCATTCTGGGCCTCTCCATTCTGATTGGTTGGAACTTGGGCCATACCAGTGTTTAAATGTTTAACTATGTTCTCCTGACGGCTTCACACATTGCTCATGAGGACACAGCCCAGCTGAGGCGGGGGCTGAGACAACAAGCAGTTTACCTGGGCCGCCCTGGCACCCTCTGGGGGTGGGGGAAGCTCTGGGAGGCAGGAGAACCTCCTGTCAAATATGCATCGGTGTAGGTGGGCATCCAGAGAACGGAAGTCATCATAACTTCGGAGGACTGGCCAGGAACGGCCCTGTGGGGGCAGGAGGGACAGAAAGGAGCAGTAGTCCCATTGCACTGAGCTGAGAACTACGAGGAGCAGTCTGTCAGGCTAAATGAGAGGAGGGGTGGCCTCACCTGACAGGTCACCTGCACCCCAAACACCAGCTCATTCTCTCCAGAGAAGCTGGGCCCTTCACGCTCTGGAGACAGCAGGAGCTGTAAAGGGAAACAAAGGTCCAGGTAAGAGCCTCATGCGTGTCCCAGTCCTGACTTTTCCAGGTTGGCACTACCTAGAGAGGGGTCTGTGTCCCCTGCCTGAGCCTCCCTAAGGGCAGGGCCTGGCGATGTCTCAAAGTACAGGGTCCCGGCACAGAGCATACACCTAACAAAAAGTTAAGTGACTGAACAAAGAAACAAATGAAAGAAGGAACAGTTCTCCCCTTCCATCCTGCAACTCCTGCCACTGACTGCTCAGATTGGGGGAACAGCTATTGCTGAGATAGGTTTCAGGGGTAACGTGGCTGATACTGCTTCAGGGTTGGGTAAGAGCTCACTCTCCCACCTGGGTGCAAAGCCCTCATACCTGAATATGGCCAAAGTCAACATTCTCATAGTGGAAATGGGCACAGTCGGCCAGCCGGGGGAAGGGACCTCGAGGAGCCGAGAGCCTGGGGGACAAGTGACACATCACTGGTGACTCCTGGGGTTGGCCCCCCTCCTAAGCTGAGCCTCACCCTCACCTCTCACCTTTTCCCAGGCTTCCCCTTCACACTGGGCCCCCCAGTGTGGGGCAAGGGCTGCACTGAGCCCTCCCCTGGGCCATCCAGGCTGTCAGTGCTGCGAGCCTGCAGAGCAGAAAGAAGAATCAGAGGCCTCCAGAGATGGGAACAGAGAGACAACGGCAGCATTGTTATCTGTGAGCCTGGGCCCGGAGGCCCGAATTGCTCCACAGGCTGCCCTAAGCGTGCAGCAGAAGGGTAGGTCAGGGGGAGGTGAAGGCAACTAAAGGTAGGCCTGCTTCTTTGTGTGTGGTCTGGGGTGGGGGGCTGGAAGAGCAGAGACCGAAGGCGAGGCAGGGAGAGCATATGCTGGTACCATCTCTCCCTGCTTCAAGTCCTCCCTTCGCCCCTGCAGAGTATAGTCTCCCCTAAGTGCCTCTCCACACCTTTTATTGATGTTTGGACAATCACAGCTTCCATCTTATCAATCTTCCTTCCAACCTCTCCCCTCCTGCTAGCTTCTTCACAGCAAGCGCCAGGATAATTTCGTGCCACACATATCTGCCTCTGCCTCTCCACAGATCACAGACCTTCAATGGCTCCCTGTTATCTTCAAGATAAAGTCTGAATTCTCAGGTCTGTTTACCTCTCCAGCCCCATCTTACCCCCATGGCCTCTACTCTTGGAGCTCTCAAACTTCTAAGAGTCCAACAAAAGCACCATCTTCTCATTTCCTCCCAGGCCTTTGCAAAGTTTGTTCCCTCTTCCCCATCCTTTCAGTAGGTTCACTCCTCCCCATCCCTCAGGGCTCATCTCTCTCATTCTCTCCTCTGGGAAGTTCTCCGGGACCCAGGCTGTGCCAGCCTCCTCTGCTAGACTCCTCTATCCCCTGAGGTTCTCCCATCCCAGCCCTGAGCACTCTGAGATATCACTGGTGACAAGGCCATTTCCCCCACTGGATTGTGACTTCCCCAGGATCAGGGACCCAGCACAGAGCTGGGCACAGAACTGATGCTCCCCCCAGGTAAGGTAATGCCTGATTCCTCTCTGGGTCCCCATGCCCAGTCTCACAGCAGGAGCCGTGGAAAATCTGATGAGTAAATTAGTCAGCTGCCAGATAGGGATTTCCCAGGCTGGGCTCTCGCCTCTCCCTCCTTCATTTCCCTGCGACCCCAGGTTCATCCTTGGGTCTCACCCTCGGTTCTGTCCCTCTCCAGCCCATGAAGCTCCCCAAGGCAGGATGGGATGTGAATCTCTTTGCGCCTGGAACATGGGGTCTGCCAGGAGGTATCAAGGAGTGTCTGTTAAATGAGCGAATCAGGGAATGAATGGATGAATGAGCAGGAGCAGCATGGTAGGAGAGGGAGACGGTGGGGAGGGAGGGTGAGGACAGGAAGACGGAGAAGGACCCAAGGATCCTGCGAGAGGTACGCTGCTGGCTTGGGGTTGGGGTGCAGTGAGGAGAGGGGAGATGCTGGGGAGGCTGAGGTGCAGGCTGATGGGGGTGCTGGGGAGGGCTGATGGAGAGGGAGCAGAACGGAGTGAGAACGAGGGAGAAGAAAAGGGTCAGGCTGAGGATGGAGCCGGGTGGGGGTGGGGCTCAAGATCGCGAAAGGGGCTGGAGGCGGGAGGGGGAGGGGGCAGGCCGGGAAGGGGTGGCGGCTGGGAATAGAGGCTGAGGGTGGCTGTGGGATGGGGGCTGAAGAAGGACCCAGGAAGCTTCGGCAGGCCCCTGGGGGGGCCACTTGGGGGCGCGGGTCCTTCCCGGACTAGCCCATCCCCCCAGCCTGGGTCCTCGGCCACTGTCAGCTCCACCCAGGGCGCGGCGAGGGATGTGCACTGAGGGGGCGGGGCCGGGGCGAGGGCTCGGGCCGACACCAGGCCGGGGGCCCGAGAGGGACCTCGAGAGGGGTGAGGGGCGGCGCGGGCCGCGGGCTCGGGCGGGGCCGGGGGCGGGGCGCGCGGGGCGGGGCCGCGCGCGGACAGACTGACACGCGGACCGACTGACGGCCGCGTGGGCCCCTCACCACCATGGTAGCGTAGCCTCCTCAGGCGCCGGCCGCGCTCGACCCCTCGCTCGTCGTCCTCGTCGCCGCCGCCGCCGCCATGGCGACACAAAGGGGAGGGCGCGAGCCGCGCGCGGGCGGCTGCAGGCCCCGCCCCTAACGGCCGCCCGTGGCTCCGGCGCGCGCCCCACGGAGGCGGGGCCAGCGGGACGCGGCGCCGCTTCCCATTGGCTCCGGCCTCGGCCTTGGGACGACGCCCCGCCCACCCGGGCGGTTTTCATTGGCTGCGGCGGCGGTCCCATCGCTGGCTCGGTCTCTTCGGTCCCGCCCCGCGAAGTTTGACAGCGCCGCGCCCAGGACTGCTCTTCATTGGCTGTCATTGCCCTCCCGAGACACACCCCTAGGCTCTTTATGCTTTGCTTCCAACACTCCCAGCGCGAAGCCACGGGCCCTCCCCTTAGTCCACTCTCGGTGACCCGTCCTCTGACACTTGCTTCCCCTTTGCCATCGAAGTTGGATTCTCCATGGCCTCAGAGCTTGTCTCCATCCCCAAGCCGCTTTTCCACGTCTCCATCCCCCAGCTCCATCTTGTCGGTCCCGACCCGGACACCTCCCGCCCGCAGAACCCTGAGGGCATTTGCCCATGGACGGTGTCACTGTCTCACATACTCGGCCTGGGACGCAATCCCAGGCACTCTGCGATCGGCCTCGCCCTTCCCGCTGGACATGCTGTCCTTGCCTCCTCTCCTGCTTCTTATAGGCCGGTCTCCAGCCTTGGCTCCTTTTTTCTAGGAATTGCCTTAGCCCGCAATTCCAGAACATGACTGCGCCTGCCGTAAAGCCAATTCCAACCCATCCGCCTCTGACTTGAGCCAGGCCCAGGACACACTATAACGATGCCCTTTCCCAGAGAACCTTTCCACTGGTCATGTTCTCAACAGGGTCCCTCGCCTCGGAAAGTACCGCTTTGTTTCATTCACTCATTCATTCAAAAACTCTGATCACTTAATTTGTGGCTACAGCAATAACCAAAGCAAGGGGAAAATATATCCTGCCCACGTGGCACTCAAAAGCTCGTGGGAGAAGACAATGAACAAAATAACTTAAAATGTAGGGAGTCTGGGGTGGCTCAGACTTTGGGCGTCCGCCTTCGGCTCAGGGTGTGTCCCCGGAGTCCTGGGATCGAGTCCGGCATCGGGCTCCCTACATGGAGCCTGCTTCTCCCTCAGCCTGTGTCTCTGCCTCTCTCTCGCTCTCCGTGTGTCTCATGAAAAAATAAGTAAAATCTTTTAAAAAATAATTTTAAAATATCTTAAAATGTAGAAAATTAGGTGATAAATTCTATGGGTAAAAAATTAATCAGGGATTGGGGAAAGGGAATCCTGAAGGAGGGGTCAATTTTTTAAAAAGATATTATTTATTCATAAGAGACACACACAGAGAGAGGCAGAGACACAGGCAGAGGGAGAAGCAGGCTTTCCGCAGGGATCCTGATGGGGGACTCAATCCCAGGACCCCTGGATCAGGGTTGAGCCAAAGGCAAATGCTCAACCACTGAGCCACCCAGGTGCCCCAAAGGTGGGGTCAATTTATAGTTACTTATTTCAACTAATAAGTTCAATAGAACTTGCTCACTTCACTCCCATCCCAGGGATTTCCTATGTGATGTTCCCATTGCCTACAGTCTCCCCTCAACCCCACCCCACTCCCCACTTACCCAGTGGTGGTTTTATTTTTTTTTAATTTTTATTTATTTATGATAGTCACACACAGAGAGAGAGAGGCAGAGACATAGGCAGAGCGAGAAGCAGGCTCCATGCACTGGGAGCCCAACGTGGGATTCGATCCCGGGTCTCCAGGATCGCGCCCTGGGCCAAAGGCAGGCGCTAAACCGCTGCGCCACCCAGGGATCCCCCCTTTGGTGGTTTTATTTTTTTTTTAATTTTTAAAATTTATTTATGATAGTTACACACACACACACACACACACACAGAGAGAGAGAGAGAGAGAGAGAGAGAGGCAGAGACATAGGCAGAGGGAGAAGCAGGCTCCATGCACCGGGAGCCCGATGTGGGATTCGATCCTGGGTCTCCAGGATCACGCCCTGGGCCAAAGGCAGGCGCCAAACGGCTGCGCCACCCAGGGATCCCCCTGTTTTTTAAAACACGACTGCAAATTCTTTGACACTGCTTTCATGAAAAGATGGAATCTATGTCCCCTCACCCTTGAATCTGGGCAACATGGATAATTTCAACCAACAGAGAGTAGTGGAATTGACATTATGTGATATCTAAGACTAAGTAGCAAGAAAACAATGCATCTTCCTTTTTGTCCACCGAAATGACTAGCTCTAGAGCTTTGAGGCATCATATGAGAAGTGCAACTATGCCCAGGAAGCCATGCTTTGAGGAAGCCCAAGCCCTCAAATGTAGAGACCATATGTAAGCACCACAGTGTACAGTTCCAGCTGAGCCAAGCCTTGGAGTCATCTGGGCCCTGGTGCCAGACTTTAAGTGAAGAAGCTCCAGAGGTCCTGCCCCTGGCTGTTGAGTCACCTGTGAGTCTCTCCAGTTGAACCCCTAGACATCATGGAGCACAGATAAATTATCCCTTACTGTGCCTGTCCAAATTTCTGACTCTCAGAATCCATGAACATAATAAAATGATTGTTTTATGCCACTAAGTTTGGGGGATGATTTATAATCCAGCAAAAGTAATTAGGATGGCCCTTTGTCAACTAATTAATTCCTACCTGTCTCAGCTTAAATATAATTTCCTCAGAAATCCCTCTAGGGTCCAGTCACCCCTCAACTAGATCAGATTCTGCTACTGAAACATCTTTCATTTCTCTTTATATCTAAACAGCAATTTCCTTCTTTCTGATTTCATTTAAATGTATGATTTGTTCAGAAAGGCTGAAAACAATATACATCATGTCAATGATATACAGAAGCTACTTAAAGAAAAAGATTTTATGTATTTATTTGAGAGAGAGACAGAGAATGCATGCAAGAGATCAAGCACAGGCAGGGAGAAAGAGTGAGAGGGAGAAGCAGGCTCCCGCTGAGCAGGCTCTATTCGAGGACTTTGGGATCATGACCTGGGCCATGGGCAGACACTTAACTGACTGAGCCACCCACATGCTCCCAGAAGCTGCTTTTAACAGAAATCTATTCTATCCTTCTCTTTAATAAATACAGATATCAAAATAATCCTGATCATACATTTTTCAACATTTTATTATAAGTTTCTAACATACAGCAAAGTTGAACAATTTTATAGTAGACACCCACATACCTGCCACTTAGATCTTACTAACTGACTGTGGGGTGAGGGAAAGAGATGAGTCACGAATGGCTATGAGGCTTTTGGCCTGAGCAGTTAAAAGGATGGAGCTCAGGAAAGCCAATGAAGGGCAAGTTTTAGGGGAAGTTTGAGAGCTCAGTTTAAGACCTGTGGGGTTTGGGGTACCTGGGTGGCTCAGTGGCTGTCTACCTTTGGCTCAGGGGGTGATTCTGGGGTCCTGGGATGGAGTCCTGCATCGGGCTCCCCATGGGGAGCCCGCTTCTCCCTCTGCCTGTGTCTCTGCCTCTCTCTGTGTCCCTTATGAATAAACAAAATCTTTTAAAAGGGGGATCCCTGGGTAGCTCACCGGTTTGGCGCCTGCCTTTGGTCCAGGGTGAGATCCTAGAGTCCCGGAATCGAGTCCCACATCGGGCTCCCTGCATGGATCCTGCTTCTCTTTCCTCCTGTGTCTCTGCCTCTCTCTCTCTCTCTCATAACATAAATAAATAAATAAATAAATAAATAAATAAATAAATAAATAAATAAATAAATAAATCTTAAAAAAAAATCTTTAAAAAAATAAAGAAAAAAGACCTGTGGGGTTTGAGACATCTCTTAGGCCTTTGAGTGGAGATGGTGAGTAGGTAGAATACAGGAACCTAAGTTTCAGTGGCCAGATTGAGGCTGAAGATAGAAATTTGGGGACCATTAGAATAGAGATGGGTGTCAGAGTGGTGGAACTAGACTAGATCACTTGGGAATGAATACAGATAGTTAAGGCCAGGGCCCTAGGACAGGTTAAAGTGACAGGTTGGGGCAATGACAAGGGGCGACCAGAGAGGTGAGAAGGGTGGGGCATTGGAAGCAGGGGAAGGAAGTGTCTCCAGGAGGGATGAGCACACTAAATGCTGCTGCTGGCTCAAGCAGGGTGTGGACTGAGGACCGACCATTGCCCAGCACTCTATGACCCCATTAACTTCATGCCCTGAGGACAGCCCTTTGGTCTCAGCTGAGACAGGAGAATCCACTTCTGAGCTGAGAGTCAACTAAGGTGCATCCCAGTCTTGCCTGAAATCTGACCTGGAACCCCTCCCCCATCCTCACCTCAGAGGGCAAACCAGAAGAGATTTTGCCCTAAAGGTCAGGAACTAGAATCGGGGTTTGGCAAGGCAGAGCCGCAGCGGATAGGGGAGGGGAGGAGCAATTTCCCCAAATTAGAATCACCCTCAGGCATTCCAGAACAACTCTTCCTCAGATACAACCAGCAACGTGAAAAAAATATTTTATTGGGAAAAATACAATTTGTACAAGTCAACGTCTTCTGGTCTCGGGAGGAGCTCCTTCCCTCCGCAGCCGCCTTCCTGGGGACCTGGGGGGCGACCCGGTGGGAGGAGACCAAGTCCCTGGGTTTTCAGTGTGCTCCAGTAGGAGGGACAGTTGCGCGTCCACTTTCCTGCAAAAAAGCCAGGGTCGTAGAGGCTCAGGACTGGGGTCTGGGGTGGTGGGTGGCTCTGGGAAAGGGGTATTGCAGATCCTGGGGATGGCCACCTTTTCTGCCGTCTCAGCTCGGCCCTCTGAACTCTTAGCAGCTGAAGTACAGGGTCGTCCTGGAACTCGCTGCCGTCGGACTCTAGGGGAAAAAGAGCGAGCGCCAGGAGGCTGACTCGTGCGTGGGGTGCGGGACCGCCACGCAGATCCGCGCAGCCACCGCGATCAGCTCACCTTCTGCAGCCTCCAGAAGTCGGGCCGCCAGGCCGAGCAGATCTGCGGAGGGGGCGGGCCCCGCAGCGGGCGGGGGCGTGGCCACCGCCCCGGGAGGCCCCGCCCCGAAGGAAGTAGGCGGGGCCTCGAGAGAAGCAGCCGCCTCCTCGGCTGGAGGGGGCGGGGCCTGGGGCGGCAGGTTCCCAGGGGCGGCCAAGGGGGCGTCTCCGTCCTTCCCAGGCTCCCACGCCTCTAGGGGGAGCGTGGCCTTGGCTCTCCGAGCCTCGGCTTTGGAGCGACGAGGCGGAGTCTGCGCCTTGGGAAATCGCGATCCAGACTGAGGGGGCGTGACCTCTGAGCCAGGTGGCGTAACCTTGGTTTGGGGGGGTGTGGCCTTGACTTTCAGAGGTTCGGCCTGGGGCAGAGGTGGGCCCCCGGGGTGAGGGGGCGTGTCCTCCAAGGCGTCCGGGAAGAGCCGAGCGGACACTATTTGGCCCAGGGCGCCTCTGAGCTGCGGGCCAGGCCCCTCGTCAGCGGCCGTGACCGTCCCAGCGGACTCCTGGCGCGGGGCCCTGCTACTCCGAGGCTTGGGGCCCTGCCTCTGGGGCTGGGCCGGGCAGCTGGGCGCAGGAGTGGGCGGGTCCTGGGGGCGGCTGGGGGTGGGAGGGTGCAGGCTGCAGGTGCTGGGGCCGGGGGAGCGGGAGCGGGGGCCACGGGGGCGGGGCCCGGAGGCGCAGGGCTGGAGGGCGTGGGAGGCATGGCCCCAAGAGGTACCCAGAGACCAGACTGCGGAGCCCAGAAGAACCCCTGGGGGCTGGGACCCCAAAAGATATGTGGAGAGAACCCAGGGGGGATAGGAGGCCTCTCCATATAAAAGGCCTCCAGGGGACCAGGTCGGGCCACACTGGCCCAAAGTGGGATGCAGTTAGGCTGGGTTCCCAAGGAACTAAGGGTCTCTGCAGGGGCAAGAGGAGCCTGTAGAGAAACGGGGGCGGGGCCCTGAGAGGGAGAGAAATGGTAGAGGGGTCTTCAGTCCCCTTCTGGCTCCTCCTTCCTCCAACTTCCCTTAGCGTCCCTCCATCCAGTCCCCTCACGCGCTCCCTCCCCCATCTCACTGGAGTGGTGGGGGCAGGAGTCCGGGGTAGCACCCAGGTTCCATCACCCTGCCCTCCTCGAGCCCGTTCAAGCTTCCTCCGCTGCCGCCACTGGTATAGAATGTCATCCTCTGGACGCAGGGGTGCCTGAGAGGAGATGGGGCCCGAAGCAGGGATGTAGGCAGGTGCTGGTGTTGCTGTGGGGTAAGTAGAGGGTGGAAGGGTAAGTTAGGAACTGGGCTGATGAGCAGAGCAAACCAAGGACAGCCTGTGCATATACCCTTCGATTGTACCAGAAAGTTATTCAGACAGGCTCTCCAGGTAATGTCCCAACTCCTCTCCCAAGCAGGAAGTGAGCAAAAGGGCAGAGTCAGAGGAGAGAGCACACGGGGGCTCTCAGCCTGTCATCATTCAATTCTTTATTCATCAGCAAATATTCACTTAGCTCTTGCTGTGTGCCAGGCACTGTTCTGGACCTTGTGGTTACAGCAGTGAACAAGACAGATCCTCCAGAATCTGCCTACTTCTCTCCCTCTTTACTGCCCTTTCCTGGGCAGTAAAACCCCACAGAAACCTCTTCTCTGGTCTCTCTGCTTCTGTTATCCCAATCTGTTTCCCCCTGCAGCCAGAGGAAGCCTGGGAACACCTGAGTCCGATCAGGGCCCTCCTGGATTAGAACCCTCCTGTGTCCTAGTAAAAAGCAAAAGTCTTTGAATTTGTGCTTCCCACTGCCTGGAGTGCTGTTCCCTCCTGTACGCACAGGGTTCAATGCCTCACATCCTTCCGATCTTTGCTCAATATCACCTTCTTAGTGAGGCCTTCCCTGGCTCCTCTATTTAAAACTGCAACCACCCCCAGCCCTACCACTCATTATCCTATTTCCTATTCCATTTTCCTCCTTAGCTCTTTTCACCTCCCAACATATTCAGTGTGGTACATCTCCGCTTACTTCTCTCTCTTCACAATGCCAGCTACACAAGGGCAGTGGTTTTTGTCTATCTGACCGTTACTATAGCCCCAGTGTCAAGAACAAGACCTGGTGGGGCACCTGGGTGGCTCAATGGTTGAGCAACTGCCTTTGGCTCAGGGCATGATCCCAGGGTCCTGGGATTGAGTACCATATCAGGCTCCCTGCAGGGAGTCTCTGCCTGTGTCACCACTTCTCGCTCTGTCTCTCATGAATAAATAAATAAATCTTTTAAAAAAAAATGGAACAAGGCCTGCTGCCATCAGTATTTGTGGCATAAATGCCAAGTGAGCTATTTATTATATTGAAGTGTAGTGTCCAGATCTGTGCTAGGGATACAGCAGTGAGGGCAGGGTCACTGGCTGCCCTCAGTTCCACGGGGCAAATGGACATCATTCCCATTACCCAGAGCATAACTTCATCAGTCATGATCATAGGGCTACCATCGTCTCTTAGAAGCCCTACCATCTGATGCTGCACAGAGAAGGGGGTGTCATTCTGGATCTCTCTCTCTCCCACCTCCCTCTATATCCTGTGACTCTACTTCCAGACCTGGCCACATCCCCCTACTCTGTTCCTCAGGCTCTGGCCCAAGAGAAACTAACTACCAGTGTCTCTCACTGGGGGGTCCAGAGCAGCCAGAGGGAGTCTGTTAATACCCAAGAAATATCACATCCTTCCCTGCTCAGAACCTCCCCCTGGCTCCCCAGTACTAAGATAATGGCCAAATGCCTCCCATGCTTACATGGCCCAATGTAACCCGACTCCTGCCAATTTCTTCCACCTTACCCCAGACTACTCTCACTCGCCACCTCCCCTTGCCCTTTCTTTTCTAGTCCGTTGTGGGCACTATGCTCCCTCCCACCTCAGGTCCTCCCTACATGCTAGAGGGCTATTGTCCCTACCTTCATCGTCAAGTCTCCACTTAGACAGCACCTCTTCCAAGAAGGTCTTCTCTGACTTCCCAGCATCATGATCCTCTCCTGCATGGCCCTCGTTTCTGCCTACATTTCACAGATGTGGGGTTAGGTAGCTATTTTCTGTCCCACATTCACTGTATTGTGAGCACCATAAACTGAGCATAATCAGTTGCTTGGAACCAGCTGATTCACTGTGGAATCCCCAAGCCCACTCCCAAGGCCTCATTCACAATAGGTATACAATGTTTTTTAGATGGCAGATTGAGTAAATTTAGTCTGTAGAACAACTCACGAAGTAGCTCCTAGTTTCAACCCTATGTTACAGATGAGAAAATGGAGGCTCAGGAAGGAGAGGTGAATAACAGGTAAGGTGAAGCTGAAAAGGAGCAAAGAATCAGACAAGCAAGAGCTCAGGCAGGATCACACACCAAGCACGAACACCTCTCTTACACTGCCTGCCCCCACTCACTCCAGCCCCACGAGACACACACAGCACCTGTCCTGCGTGCCACTGTGTCCCAGGACCTGGCCATGGAGCAATAGTAATCCAGGTCCTTAATCCCATCTCTGAAATCTGAAGACATCAGATGGCCGGAATTGAGAGTTCAACAGTTTGCCTGCTTCAGCAAAGGCACATCGTATGTACAGCACTGGCAGGGGGCTGGCCCAGTCCGCAGACTCAAACACATTAGTATTTGGTTGAACAACATGAAACTGCCAGTATTCAACCATTTTTTACTTACAGAGACAAAGGTATCATGTGGTTCAGTGTAACACACAGCCGTAGCCAAGAGAATGACTGTTCACCCTAAATGAGATTTGGCAAGACTATAAACAGCCTTCATATTCTTTAGGTCAGATTTTGCTGTTCAATCAGGTGTGGTGCTGAATTAGCAAAAAGCCATGTGATTTTGGAAATTCGTGTTCAGAACAGCAAACAGGAAGGAGAGAGAGAACCTGTCATGCTAATGATGGGTACTGTTAAGAGACCTGTGGTAGGTGCTCCCCGTATTCACCACTCATTTATTACCCCTGTTTTCAAGTTGAAGAACAGAGAGGCCCCTGGAGGCCCCAGGTCACACAGCTGGGATTCACTTCCAGGCTGTTCTCAATCCTGGCCTCAGAACTTACCCTGTGCCTTGGGGTCAGAGCCCTTGCTGGGGTCAGGGGTGAAGGTCATGGAGAAGGGAGAGAGGCCATCAGAGCTGATGGGGAAGGAGGAGCTGCTGGCATCGTTAGGGCTGAGTGAGGAGGAAGAGGATATGGAGGCCTTGCTGTAGGGGAGAAAGCAGAAGCGAGGTGACAGGGGTCTCAGAGGCTGTGGGCGGGGCCTGGGGCTGTGGGAGTGGGGAGGGAGATGGGGGCAGGGAAGGCACCTGCGCTTGAGCAGCCTGGCAGCTCTGCTCTGCAGGCTCAGTGTCTCCAGGTCCAGCAGGGATGAGTTCCATGTGTTGAGGCTCTGCGAGGTAAGAGGGATCAGAGGCTAGCCCCCATCTCAAAGGGTGCTGGGAAAGGGGCTCTGGACAGAGGGCCTGGAGTACAGGTCTACACTCCACCTGGTGCCCTCACATGCTGGCTTAGAATCCGCTCCTCCTCCTCAGAGATGGGGGGACTTCCTCTGTGATCCACACCCCTCCTGGTAGTCATTGTTGTGGGAGAAGGGTTGACCCCACCTTCCTGACCTGGCCTGGCTAATCACAACAATCTGTCCTCTGCTTCCACAGTGCCTGGCTCAAAGATGAACACATGAGAGTAAGCTCTGGGGCTTTGCATGGAACTACTAGGAAATCCTCTTTCCACTGAAGTAACTATGTAAGTTAGAAGCCTAGAGTGACTGGGGCCATCTTCGCTACCTCAAGGGGAAGCCTGCCTGAGACTGAGCCCAACAAAGAGGAACAGAGAGCCAAGAGAGTCGAGTTGCTCCTGGTACTGTACAAACACCTGGATCTAGCCATGCCTGAAAGCATATACATTGGGATTTCTTGACTGCATTAGCCAGCAAATCCTCCTTTTGTCTTTAAGCTTCCTTGAATTGGGGATTGACTTTAATTCTATGCCAGGGGTAGTGCTCTCAGTTCAGGCACATAGAGAAGGAAGTGGATGAGGATGTCACCTGCTTCATTTCCTGAAGGGGGGCCACAGCCTTAGCCCGAGAGGCGCTGACCACCTTGGCAAGAGTTGGGACTGCTGTGTTGGGTCTTCCTTCTGGTTCACTGGCTCCTGCCGAGAAGCCCCAGTTGATTTTGGAGGGGGGCCACGAGGAACCTCTGCTGGGGGCATTGATCAGGAGAGGTTTAGGCCTACAGTGGATGGGACTGTAGCAGGTACCTGCTGCAAGCTGACTGCTGGGGTCTGGAGATTCAGGCCGGAGCCACCAAAAGTCAGCTGCGGTTGGGCCTGCGGGCTGGCGTTCCTCTCGGCTTGTAGGCTGAGCCTGGCGAAACCGGTTTATGTACCTGCGAGCATCAGAGAAGGGGAGGTGGGTGAATGAGGAGAGCCAAAGAATAGTAATAATGACAATAACAATCACAACAGCTGATGTTTATCAGTTACCTTGGCAATACCTAGCCCTTGTCCCTCAGCATCTGTTCTCCTCTCATACACAGTAATGCAATATTATGTAAGACTATATGATACGGGGCACAGAGCCACTCTTCCACAGATTTATTTAATTTTATCAGGGGTCCCTATAGTTTTATGTCTATGTAACTAGGTTCTTGACCAACAGGGTTTTGTTTTGTTTTTATTATTTATTTTTTTTTGTTTTGTTTTTAAATATTTAATTTATTTATTCATGAGACACAGAGAGACACATGCAGAGGGAGTAGCAAGCTCCCCGTGGGAAGCCCAATGCGGGACTCAATCCCAGGACCCTGGGATCATGCCCTGAGCCAAAGGCAGATGCTCAACTGCTGAGCAACCCAGGCGTCTCAACCAATAGGGTTATGAGATGAGGAAATGTGATTCTGGATAGTGGAAGTGGTTGGGAGCCATTCTGGTCCATAAAGGAAAGGGCAAGAGCCTCGTGATGGGAGGCAGCACGACAGAAGGAAACTGTCCCTGATCCTAGCTGGGGGCTGCCACAGCAGCCCTGGTTGCTTCTGCCTGGACTGTTGGGTGAGGGAGAAATAAATGCTGTCTTTCTTATGCCACAATTAATTTGGGGCTATTTGTTAGAGCAAGTGAACTTGTATCCTACAAATTCAAGTGCTCACCACGATAGCACTTGTTATAGATGCTTTATAGGCAGTAACTCATTGAAAGCTTAAAATAGTCCTGGGGGATATGTGCTGCTAATATCCATGATTTACAAATGAAGAAACTGAGGCCCAGATCATACAGAGGGTAAGTAACAGAACTGGGATTTGAATGCAGTGAGCCAGAGACACTCTGCCAGAGGCAGAGACACAGGCAGAGGAAGAAGTAGGCTCTTTGTGGGGAGCCCGATGCAGGACTCGATCCCGGGATTTTGAGATCACCCCTTGAGCCAAAGGCAGATGCTCAACCACTGAGCCACCCAGGTGCCCCAGCTCCAGAGCTCTTAATAGTACACATAAAGTTTGGTCCTAAAAGTGCTGCATAAACAACTCTGGCTGTGATGATGATGATGGCATACCTGCCCCCCCTCCTGACCCAAACCCTTCCTTCCCCCCAGGGCTGCTGGTACTTACTTGGCCACCACGGACTCGCCACTGTCAACCAGGGTGGGTGGTGGGGAGGCTCCCACCTGTCCTTCAGTGGTGCTGGGTGGGGAAGGGATCCCTGAGCTGGACGGCCAGGATTCTCCAAACAGCTCAGAGGAGTTGGGACCTGTGGCCAGAGCCTTGGGAGCTTCTGGGGGCCTGGACCTCTGGGACCTGGATGGGCTTAGGGTCTAAGACAGGGGAGTGGGGAGAAGAAAGTGAGGGCTGAGGGGTTACCCCTGTAGGGGAACAAAGGCACGCATGAAGTGTGTCTCAGTCCAGAGGGGAGGAAACATCCTACAATGTTAACAACTCAGAGTGATTGGGGCCATGATAGGGGATCCAGGACCAGGTGAGGGCAGAGCTGTAGGGAGGGAAAAGAGACTGTTGCTTAATTTCTCACCCCTATCTCTCATCACATGTCCTCCTTCCCTCTAGTTATCACTCCCTCACCACTGGGCTCACACACAGCACTCTCCATGGAGTGTCCTCACCTTGGGGTGCCAAGTCTGGGTCCGGGATGGCAAGTAGCTGCTGTGATCCAGGGGAGCATCCTCAAAGGGGCTGTCTGGGATGGAGAAAACTGGCAGACTGCAAGGGGAGAATGAAGTTGGCCAGCAGAGCCCCCTGCTGGGAGGCTGTGGGTGGAGTCAGGGTTTGGGGTTGAGGAGAGGAGGGCAGACCAGATTACAATTCCCATAGATTCTTGGAAGAGATGAACTATAACTCCCACGAAGCAGCGCTGCACATTCAAGATACTGATACTAGAAGCTCGATTCCCACCAGCCCTTGGAGCAGTCTCAGAAACCCAAGGAATTGCCTACTGGCAGTTCGTGACCCTGAATCCAATCTGGGAGCCTTTGAAAAATACAGACATGCGGTCCTCGTCCCAGGCCCAAAGCATCCTATCTGTAAGAGAGCTGGTCACCTTCCCAGGTGATTCTGAAGCGCAGCTCGGGTTAAGAACCGCGACTAAACCCCATCTCTGTGCCTTTCCCATAAGTCCTTGGGATACTGAGGAGGAAATGGTAAATGGACTATAACCCCCATCAGTAACTGGGCTCTGCCTAAGCAAGAAAGGTCAAGAACAACACCCACTGGAGTCTGGGGGGGGGGGAGCTTTAAAGCTCAGAAATTTGATTCCCAAGAGGACACTGGAAACCCTTAGAGGAAAACCCCTTGGAGCCACTTGGAAAGCGTAACGTAAGACTCCATGGGACCCTGAGATGCTGAGGTCCCAGGCTGGAGCTGCCAGAGGATGTGGAGCATCTTGGGAGTTGTAGTTCCAGCGCGGTTGAAGAGCAGAGACTCCGGACCCCAGCAAACCTGACCCGACGCTGCGTTCACCGCACCCTGGGTCCTCCCCAGGCCTCCTGCGGTCCCCGGGAGGAGGCTCGGCCTCACCTGCGGTCCATCCCGCAGCCACCTGGGCGCTTCCGCCAGCTCCGCTCCTTCACTGGGCTGAACCCGCGCGCATCTCGGTCGCTTAGCAATGCCCTGCCAGGCCCGCCCCCCTCGGCGGGCGCCCGCGCGGGAAGACAGCGGCCTCCGAGGCGGCCAATGATGGAGAGGAAGACAGGAGCAACTGGAAAGTGGCCAGAGGGCGACGCCGCACAACGGGCTGTAACTTCGGCCCGACTGAGAGAGCATGTTTGATTGGAGGCCCGTAGCGCGCGGCAGTAATTGGCAAGCCTGCGGACCAATGGGAAGGCTCTGAGGGTGAGCTGGCGTTTGGGAGGGTCTATAAACTACTCGCGCTTTCTAGCAGCGTCTCACGGCCACTCCCCCTTTTGCAGTAGAGCTCCTGTCCCGTCTCCAATCTAAGCACCGGTTTTCGCGTCGCAGGGCAGTCAGGGAGCCTGTGCCCTCTGCAGCCGCCGCCCCCTCCATCCGTCCGACCAGCCAGCCGGCCCGGCGGAGTCATTAGCCACTTCCGTCCTGCTGCAGGAGCAGCTGGTTGCGCGAAGTGCCAGGCCTGGGCTCCTCGCCGAGGTGGTGGGATCAAAATGAGCTATTTCGGGCCCGGCGCGCGGCCCCTGGGGGGCCAGCCTGGACTGTTCGTGCCCGCGCCCTCTGGCCGCTGCTCACCTGGCAGCCCCCGCTTCCCTGCGCACCCGAGACTGAGTCAGAGGCCCAGAATTAGGCCCGGCTTGCGGGGGGCTGGGCCCAGGGCCCTGCAGAGATGGGAGTAGGGTCTGTTCTGTGTCCTCCTGACAACCTGGCGGGCTACCACATTCCCTGTACCCAAGAATCTGCTCCTAAGACCGCCATCTGCGTCATCCCCAGAGCTGCCTGCGGGGCGGGGGTGGATTAAAGGGACTGCGAACTCTGCGGTGGGGTTTTTCGGGCCCTTGGGTCCCAAATACCGCGCTGTCCTACCCACTTGGCAAGGCTCCGCCTCCTCGGCCTTAGTTTCCCCTTCGGGACACGGGGGGGATCGCCTCTCTGGCATCCAGCAGGCGCTCAATAAATGGCCAAGTCATTGTTGGGCTTTCTAAATAAGGCTCTATTAATGGCCGGGGCTGGCCGCGGTCCCAATGTCCCCGGGCGGCCCGCCGAGGGGCGGACACAAGGCGTACTATAAGAGCGGCTGCGGCGCTCGCAGGGGCACTGCGGAGCCTAGGGGCGGCGGCAGCGGCGGCGAAGCAGGATGGAGATCCCCGTGCCCGTGCAGCCGTCTTGGCTGCGCCGCGCCTCGGCCCCGTTGCCCGGGCTTTCGGCGCCCGGGCGCCTCTTCGACCAGCGCTTCGGCGAGGGGCTGCTGGAGGCGGAGCTGGCCGCGCTCTGCCCCGCCGCCCTGGCCCCCTACTACCTGCGCGCACCCAGCGTGGCGCTGCCTACCGCCCAGGTGCCAGGCCTGGGGGAGGGCGGGACCTCGGCCACTTGCAGGGCTCGGGCCCCGGGCATCCCGAGGCGGGCCGCTCCGAGGGGCTTCCAGAGGTCCCGGAGCCTGGAGTCTCGCAGGCCGGATAACGACGGGGGTGGGAGGTCCCTGCCCGGGCGAGGAGGGTCTCCGCTCCGAGGGGCTGGAATGGCTGAGTCACTGATAGGGTGGGGCCGTCCCTCTGGAGGCTGGTGACCCAGGAAACCTGGGGAGAGGGCGCTCAGTCATCCTGAAGGGCATGGGGGGGTCCCCGGGACTCCCGAGGGGAGGGAAGGTTTTGTCATCCTCGGGGAAGACTCTGGAGACTTTATGTGGTGACCCTATGTCTCCTGGAGAGACGGGGGGAGGAGGGGTCCTGTGACTTGAGAAAGGGGGGCCTGGCCACTCAGAAGTGGGGGAAGAGTGCTGGTAACTGCCGAGGGCGTAAGCGGCCCCGTGACTCCAGTGGGAGGGTAAAAAGAAGACTGGAAGCCGGGGGAAGAGGCAACTTGGCAATTTGGGGGGGGGCGGTGTATAGGGAGGGCACCAGGGGTTCTGAGGGGAAGGGGCCTGGGCATTCAGCGTCCAAAGGACACTCCGACACTGGGGGAGGGGGCAGGCCTTAGCCTGTGAGAGGGAGGTCTCTGACCTGGCCGGGGAACGGGGCCTCATCACTCCGGAAGAGGAGAATCTCCGTGCTTACAGAGGGAGGGGTGATCCCCGGTATTCTGCGGGAAGAGATCCTCCGGGGCTGCGACTAGGAAAGGGGACGGCCCAGTTCCGGAGGCCCTGGGGCAGGGGCAGCCCCGGAACCCGCGGGGGCGGGGCCTCGCCGGGTCCCCGGAGCCTCGCGCCGCCGCCGACCGTACGGCTGTGCTTAGGTCCCGGCGGAGCCTGGGCATTTCTCGGTGCTGCTGGACGTGAAGCACTTCTCCCCGGAGGAAATCGCCGTCAAGGTGGTTGGCGACCACGTGGAGGTGCATGCGCGCCACGAGGAACGCCCGGTGAGCCCGCTGGCAGGGGTGGGGCCGCGGCGCGGAGGCGGGGGCCGCGGGAAGGGGGCGGGGCGCCGCGGCCAGGGGGCGGGGCCGCTGAAGCCTCCGGTCTCTCCAGGACGAGCACGGATACATCGCGCGCGAGTTCCACCGCCGCTACCGCTTGCCCCCGGGCGTGGACCCTGCCGCGGTGACGTCCGCGCTGTCCCCGGAGGGCGTCCTGTCCATCCAGGCTGCACCCGCGGCGGCCCAGGCCCCACAGCCGCCGCAGGCTGTTGCCAAGTAGGCGGCACGCCTGCACCCCGGGAGCCGCGTCAGGCCCCCTCTTTTAAAGCCGACCTGACTCCGCCCAGCCAGATGTCCCGAGCGAGCGCGCCCAAACCACCCTCCCAATCTGGGATCCTGCCCCGACCCTTCCCACGTAGACCCTGCCCTGGTCATGTAGACCATTCCATGGACGCTCCCGCTGTCACACCCCCTCCAGCTTTCGAATTCCTCACACGTCCCTAGCTTCCAGGCCCTCCTTCAGCCTACAGCCTCCTGGCCCCACTGACCCCACTTTCTTGGCATATAAATCCACTCAAACTCCCTCCTCCACTTCCTTCTGACTCATCTATTAAAACATCTCCACATCTCATTACTCCTCTCCCCTCTCCAACACTAGATTATGGTGTGGACAACCCTGCCCCCACCCTTGGCCAGTCAAGCATAATCCCTCTCCACCCCTCAAATACCCCAGACTGCAGACCTCCCACCCCAAACCATCCAGGCCTGGTCCTCAAGACTCTGGATCCTTCCCCTCATTCCAACTGGACAATCTACTCCCCCCACCCATCTTGTGACTTCTTGAACCTCTTTTCTGACCCTCCACCCTTGGACACCTATTCCAGGCCTAGCAGGACCCTCAACCTCACTGCACAAATACCCACTCCATATCCCCAGACTCTGCACAGATATCCTAAGCCCCATCCCCAACTCTAAACCCCCCACCCCCATGATCATTCTGTCTTAACCCTCAAGTCTCCAACCATATATCCCAGGTAATCCATCTTTCACATACCTCCCCTCATTCTCCAAAATCCAACCAAGCAGCCACTTTTGCTTTGGTTCCCCACAACCCTTCTTGATATTCCCTGCCACCCCATCCCCTTGCCCATTTCCCCCAATAAATGTGCTAGAGCTGTGCCAACTGCTTTTATGTCTGGGCTGGGAAATAGGGGCTGGAGTAAGCAGAGGCCGGCATGAAGGTGAAAAGGAGGCGAATGTTTATTGGGGGGGTATGGGGGGCAGGGGAACATCACTGTCGCTCATACATCTCCCGCAGGATCTTCATGCTTTCTGAGTACCGAAGCTGGTTCCGATGAGATGCCTCCTTCCACCTGCAGTGGGGGTAGAAAAGCAATGGGAAGACTCAGCAGTTGGGGTGGAGGCCATAGGGGTACAAACAGGTTGGGGGATGCTCACCTCTGGCGGATGCGTTTCCAGCGCTGCATGTTGCGATAGATGAGTGTGGACGGTGAGGGCTCAGGTTCCGAGGGCTGTGTGGACAGGGGCCAGGCTGGGTTGGCCACGCCCAAGGCCCATAACATATGCCCCAGAGCCTTGGGCCGGCCTGCATACCTACCTCATCATCAGGGGTACCCTGGGTCTCAGGCTGCAGGGGGGATGGAATTCGGGATCTGCAAGCATCTCCAGGTGGCCCAGTGGCTGTGGGTGGAGGCAGCTTGTACACATCACGACTCTTGCTGTTGGTGACCTCGGAACTCTGGGGACAAAGGAGCCCCACACCAGGCCCAAGAGAGTTAGGGAAGGGGGCCCGCAGTACACATTTCACCCCTCCTGCCTTTCCAGTGACGGCAGACAATAGGTCTCACCAGGGCTCTTAAAAGCCATGCAAAGAACTGTCTGCTCCAGGGATCCCTGCCTGTATTCTCCTGTCCAGCCCAGGGACCCCCCCAATCACTCCTACCCAGGCCAGTAGCCCCCATCTGCTCCTCTAGGCCAGGTGGCTACACTTGTTTGCACTAAGGACCCCTGTGTCAAGCCCCCCCCAGCTTTTGGGGACCTCTGATCTTGGAGGCCACCTTTACCTGCCCAAGGGAACCCTGTCCCCTTTCCTTCTCAGGCCAGGTAGGCATGTCTGTCTGCTTTAGGGAGTTCTACCCATACCCTCAGCCAAAGGGTTCCTATCTGTGTGCCTCATGGGACCCAGAAGTCACTGAGGCAGAGGACACCTTTAACCATCTACCCACTGGCTGCTGGGAGGGCCCCCCTCCACATCCAACCTCCTCATCCTCAGGCAGCGGGGGCAGCGGGGAGCTGGGGGAGCGTTCCCGCTCGCGCACTGAGGGGCTGTTGCGCATCCAGGCACGGCAGATCGGGTACAATGGTGTGTTCTCGCTGAACTGGGCCAAGTCCACACTCCGGTCAAACAGCTTGATCACGTATGTGTCTGGGGTAGTGGGAGGGGAAGGTGTGTGAACATCCTACACAGCTCTCCACCAGGGCCTGCCCTGCAGGGCCACCGCCTACTCACTGGATCGCTGCGGCCCTCCCTCAGCCAGCCCGTCATCCATCTCCCTCCTCTTCTTCCTCCGCTGGTGGGGGAAGCGGGCGGACGGCCTGCGTGGGGCAGAGAACATCAGGACCAGGGCAGGGCGCGGACCTCCCGTCAGTTGGCTGGGGCCCAGGGCCACCTTACCGTTTGCCAGTGGCTGCAATGGAACAATCCCTGTGGGGAGAGATGAGGCGTCAGCAGGCCTATCCCAGAACAGAAGCCTGCTCAAAACTGCCCCAAAGGGCACCCTGCGGATACTGAAATGTTCACACAGCACCCAGCCCCCCTTAGACCCTGTGTTCTGCCCACACCTCGAGGGCTGTAGGTGCCAAGCATGAGGGGACCTGAGCTCCTGCTGCTACAGGGTCTCTGTACATGCAGGGTGGTCAGGACTATGGTGGAGAAAGCATGGAGCAGGGTGGTCAGGGCCCGGATGGGGGAGGAAGCTGTCCAGCACAGACCATCAGCTGGATCCCATCAATAAAACTTACTTGTTGTGGGTGTCCGAGGGGGTTTTCCCAGCTTCCTCTTCCAGACGCTCCCTGGTAGCAGGAGAGGACTATGGGCTCAGGGTTCCCAGGGCCGAGTGGGAAGGCACTGAGTGGCTTTTCCACTGGGCCCCTTGCTCCCTAAGCCAGCCTCTGAGGTCCTACCCAGATCTACCCAGGACCAGAGGGTCCAACTTGCCAGGACCCCCAACCCTCTATGACCGATGCTGGGCTACATCCCAACCTGTCCATGTGACTCTTCTCCAGCAGACACTGCAACACAGCATCAAGTTGGTTCCGGGCCTTGGCCATCTCCAACTCTGGGGAAGAAGATACCAAGCAGGAGTCAGTGGCCAGCCAGCTAGGCTGCGGAGGGGCATGCGCACTCAAGCCAACAGCCAGGCCCAGGCATGCCGACAGGGTGCAGGGAGCACAGACAATTGATGTGATGAGCAAGAGCTCTGGGTTCCAGGGCTGACCCACATGCTCATGTGTGACCAAAGGCAAGTCACCTTAACTCACTGAGCCTGCTTCCTCATCATGAAAATAGGTCTCCCGATGATACCTATCTGCAAGGACTGTTGTTTGTTTGTTTGTTTGTTTAAGGATTTTATTTATTCATGAGACACACACACACACACAGAGAGAGAGAGAGAGAGAGAGAGAGAGGCAGAGACACAGGCAGAGGGAGAAGCAGGCTCCCCCCAAGGAGCCCAGTGTGGGACTCGATCCTAGGACCCTGGGATCATGCCCTGAGCTGAAGGCAGACGCTCAACTGCTGAGCCACCCAGGCATCCGGACTGTTTGGAGGCTTAAATAAACCTATGGTGCACATGAACCTCTCAGCAGCGTGTAGTAACAGCAAGTAAGTTGTACAGAGTACGTACTATGTGCCAAGAATTGTCCCAAGCATATCACAGACGCTAACCCATTACATTTTCACAATAACCCTGGCAGCTACATGTGCTTATCTTCATCTTATGTATGATGAAACCGAGGCACAGAGAAGTCAGGCTACTTGCTCAGAGTCACACAGCCAGGCCACTGCAGGGCTGAGGATTTGTACTCAGGCCACCTGGCTCCACACACAGTCAGAAGGCAGAGACTCAAGCTGGGTGCAGAATCTAGGCCCTAGATGTGCGTTGTTTGGCGGAGGCAGTGGTGTTATTTTAAATCTGAACTAAATCACCTGAAAGGACAACATTTAATAATTTGGAGATCACACCTAAAATATTCATTTGGGGCTTTCCCCCTGCCAGGGAGATAACATCTGGCACCTGCATTCCAGGCCTCAACACAGAACTTAAGGAGGTGAGGGTATAAATATTCTCCTCTCGCTCTTATGGGGTGTTTGCTCCCCTCTTCCAACCAGTACCTAGCATCACTCTGGCCCAAAGCTCAGAGCCTGGAAGGACACGTAAGGACATGCTTTGCCAGCCCTGGGATGGGGAGATACGGGGATTCCCAACATCACTGCGGAGAGACAGGGTCAGGGTAAAGGGCTAGGGGCAGCTGAGATTCTAGCAAAGAGCCCTGGGTGGGAGCCAAGATACAAGGCATACCCACATCTCTTTCCCTAGCCCCTGCTTCTCTCCTGAACCTTAGACCTTGGGATCCCATGGCCTCCTAGATACCTTCCCTTGGACATCCCCTAGGTCCCTACCATCTGCTGGGTCCCACACTAGCCTCAGTGCTTCCCTTAACTTTACCCTCTTTCCTGGGCCCCCATCTCAGGGTAGCCCCACTGGCCCCCAGTCCGTCCCTAGGCCTCAAAATAGACACTCTCCCCCACCCCAGCTCACCAACCGCATGGCCTGTCCACTTGGCCTCCTGAGTGTCTCTCCACCCACCCACTCCTTACCCTGGTCCTTGCCCTTTCTTCTCCTGGGCTCCCAGCCTCAATGTCCTCCTCTGACTTACCCTCCACAAGCTGGTCAAGAGGACTCTTTGGAAAACCAAACTGGCCCTGATCCTCCCCTGCTTAGAATGCTCCACAACCCTGCGGAGCCCTGGGACGGAGTCTGAGCTCTTCGGCCTGATGTTCACAGGCCTCCACAACCCTGCCTGCCTTACCCCTGCCCCCACCATCATTTGTGGTCAGGCCTCTACTCTTGCACTCACATTTTTTTTTTTTTTTGCATGGGGGGGGGTGTATTTTTTTTTAACTCGCTCCTCAGTTCCATACCCTCCCTTGGCTCCCCATTTCCCTCAGAGCAAAAGCCAGAGTCCTAACTTGGGCTCACAGGATCTGTCCTCCTCCCTCTCGCTCTTTGTCATCATCCTCTCACTCTCCCCACTTCACTCCCTGTGCTCCAGACACACTGGCCTCCCTGCTGGTCCCTTGCACGCGCCAGATGAGTCTTCTACCTCGGGGCCTCTTCAGAGCTACTTCCTTGGTCTGATTTGCTGTTCCCTCACCTATGCTCATCGCTCTCTCTCCCTCACCTTGCCAGATCTTACCTCCTCCTGTTTCGATTTATTTTATTTCCACTTACACCATCTAACACCCTACACATCATCTTACTCCTTTCTGGGGGGTCTGGATCCCATGCCTCTCCTACACCCTCACCGTGCCAGACCCGGTTTCCCATCAGCTCCGACCCCATTCAAAATGACTTCCTCTCTCTCGGCTTCGGTTCCCCCATCCACCACATTTCCTACCTCCTAGGATTACTGGGATACAGTGGCTGCCAGGATTAAAAGCTTCCCTGAACTTCAGGCTCTGAGCACAATGCTTGGCCCATGACCACTGCTGGAAACGGAAACTGAGGCAGAGTCAAGAAGTCTCAGGCGGCTCGGGATCCCACGTCTTCCCGCACTACACAGTCCGAGCCACCACGGTTCAACCTCAACACTACCTTGAGCACAAACCCGGAGGGTATGAGGGTGGCGAGAATCCTTCGATGCCTGCCTGACCTAGCGCTCGTCCGAGGGGCGGCAGGAAGAAGTCGCGTGGTCCGTCTTATCGCGATAAGCCCGTCTATCGCGACTCCCATACCCCGGCCCGTCGGTGCTCCCCTAAAAGCTCCCTACCTCGCGGTTCTCACCTGATTTCTCCACTTTCACTTTCACCGGGAACATGGTTTGGGTCTGAGGTGTGGCTAGCTGGGTCACAGGAGCCCAAAGGAACCCAGGGTCACAAACCAAGGCTGAAGGCAGAGGGGAAAAGGTCAAGATAAGCTTCGTGAGCGGACAGTCCTCGGCGCTGAACAGTGTCCGGCGGCGACCGCCACTGCAGCCGCCACCTCCACTAGTTTCCCTTCTGTGGGCGGGGCCCTTTGGCAATTGCTTGTTTCCATTTGTCGGTGCAACCGTCGATCTCATCGCTGACCAATTGACGGCTGCCGCCATCGGCTCCCAGGTCTAAGTCCCACCTTTCTGTGGCCCCGTTTCCGGAAACAAACCGACGACATCCCGGAGCGCTTCCTGGGAGGTGTAGTTCCAGCTCCCGAGACTCAGAGTAACGGCGCCTGCGCCGCGCAAGGCACGGCGGGAGATGTAGGATCAGGGCTTCGCAAGGCTTCTTGGAACTTGTAGTGTTAAAGCTCTGAGTTACATCAATTTAGCTCTTGACAGGGTTTATTATAACCGTGGGAGTCCTTCTTGTCCCTGAGAGGAAGAGAAGTCTGGAGTTAGGCTCGCTTCAATCTTACTGAGCGCTCGCCAGGTGCCAGCTACCTGTTAATCTCTCTTCAGGCACAACCTCATTTATTTAGCAAATATTAGTGTGCTGGGCACTGTTCTAGGAACTGGGGACACTGCACTGAACAAAACAAACAAAACCTCTTGCTGTAATAGAGCTTGTATTTTAGAGGGTGTAAGATTACAAGAAACAAGTAAAACCTTTTATTTTTATTTTTTTTTTTACTTATGATAGAGAGAGAGAGAGAGAGGCAGAGACACAGGCAGAGGGAGAAGCAGGCTCCATACACCGGGAGCCCGATGTGGGATTCGATCCCGGGTCTCCAGGATCGAGCCCCGGGCCAAAGACAGGTGCCAAACCGCTGCGCCACCCAGGGATCCCCAAGTAAAACCTTTTAAATGAAATGCAATGAAAAAGGGTACCAAAGTAGGAATTGAAATTTTATTTTTTCAAGATTTATTTATTTATTCATGAGAGACATACAACGAGAGGCAGAGACACAGGGAGAGAGAGAACCAGGCTCCCTGACGGAAGCCTGATGCAGGACTCGATCCCAGGACCCGGGATCACGCCCTGAGCCAAAGGCAGACGCTCAACCACTGAGCCACCCAGGCATCCCAGATTTGAAATTTTAAATAGGATGATCAAAGAAGCCTTCTCTGATAAAGCTCTTGGCTATGTCTATTGCTGCAGACAACATCTTCTCTGGAAAATGGGAAACTTCCATTTACCACATATGCTTTAGCTTAGATACATTCTAGGAGGTAGCACTGATACCACATTTCTGATGAGAATACGGAGAGCAAGTGGGAAGGTAGTTTTCCAATTCACACACCACCAGTACAGGATGAAAGCCCCTAGCAATGCAAGCATTATTCTTTTCTTAGTTTTGCATCTGTAAAAGAGGGTCCCTGAGCAGGAAAGTTCCAATTTCAGAGGGCGCAGAGTAGAAAGGATTGTACATGTGTGAAGCAGTAAGCCTGGCATAAAGTGAGCATTCAATACATGTTTCTGAATATTAATAACCATATTAGGTCTCAACCCCTAAAAGATCCAAGAAGTCAATATAGAGAATTAGAGTCCTTTATTGGGGGATGTCGACAAAGAACATAGGAGATGGGAACATGTCTTAGGGGCTTGAGAGTGAGCTTAGAGTAGAGGAGCACACCCTGGGAGAATGAGCCCAGGCCTGTGCAGAGGAAGGTATCAGGGGGTACCCAGGGGTATGGTGAAGGAGAGGTAGTCACCAAGGGCACCCCAACGGGGCCGGTAGATCTGGAAGATAGTGATCCAGGTGGTGAGTACAATCACCCAGAAGAGGAAGCCCACAGCTGAGCGCCAGACATCTGTAAGAGGGAACAGGAATGGGTAAGATTGGCCTCCACCTGCTCTCTGTCTTCCCCCAGATTGGCCCTCTCTTCTCTTCCATGGCTCCAGAATTCCGGAACCCCCATCATTCCCTCCCAACACCTGATGGCCTCCTTTCTCCTGTCCCCTGGACTCACAGCCTTTGATTTGGCTCTGCTCGGTGTATGCTGGGACAAGGAAGGCCTCTCGGAAGAACCAGAAGATGTTGACCAACCAGAGAAAAGGCAGGAAAGCAAACCCACCTAAGAGAAAAAAAAAAAAAAAACAAACTGGAACATAAGTCAGTAAGGATTCCCGCCGGCCCCATAACCCGCCCCAGCTCCCAACTAGAGGACGAAAGGCCCTCTCCCATACCCAAGTTCAAATGGAGTCCTCTGCTGTCAGAGACCTGGAAATCTTGGCTCTTCCCTGGGGCCCCAAAAATCTGACTCAAGTCATCTCTTTCTCAGGACCCGTTGTCCAGCCCAACACCCCCCCCGCCCCCCGTCTCTTGGGACCCAGAAGCTGAGGCCCCAGCCTCCTCTTTTCTCAGGTCCCAGGCCCTTCTCTCAGACCCAGAAGTCTGCAACCCCAGTCGCTCGATCCCTTAGACTCAAGAATCCAGGCCCCCAGGCCCTCTTCCCTCAGGCGCTCTAGTCCGCTCCCCTTTCTTCTGGGACCCTAGGAACCGACCCTTACCCAGGTAGTACTTCCGGCACAGATTCAACTTCTCCTCGTTAGACACTCGCTCCAAGTTCATAGTTGCGCTGAGGCCGAGTCGTCCGGCGGGTCTGTACGGCAGCAGCCGAGCCTTGGCCGCCAGTGACAGATGCAGGGATCGCGAACAACCACGCCCCTATTACGACAAAACGGAGATAAACTGAAGGGTGGGTTTGCTGAACGAAGGCTACCCCGGCCCCCACCAGCAAGCTGACTGGGTTGAACGCTCTTCATGTTTATTCGGGCGCGCAAACGACCCCCAACTCACCAGCAGAGTCTACTTCCTCCCCTTGGAAGCCTTTGCCACTTTCAACTCCGGACGTTTGCACGAGATACCGCAAGTGTCTCTGGGGTTTGTAGTCTTTTGGGGGGGGTGCAGCGAGGCTACACGCATGCGCCTTCAGGGAACTCCGGGTGGTGATTTTGCGGGGAGGGCGCGGGCCTCCAACACGCAAGCGCAGTAGGCAGTTTCTGAGCGCGTGCTGTGTCGGGAGGCAGCGACGAACTACACTTCCCAATGCTCTGAAGCAACGGAAGTGACGTAAGGGCAGACAGAGTTGGAGGGTTCGGGTAAAAATGGCTGAATATTTAGCTTCGATATTCGGGACTGAGAAGGACAAGTGAGAAGGGGCGCAGGGAGTGGCCCCTTGCGGGGGCCGGGACCGGGACCTTGGGTTCCCTGGTGGCTGGGAGGCGCTGGGCGGTGTTTCTGGGGTGTCCGGCCTCCCCGGCCCTCGGTTCACCTTTGTCTTTGCACCTCTTCCAGGGTTAACTGCTCTTTTTACTTTAAGATCGGGGCCTGCCGGCACGGGGACCGGTGCTCCCGGCTTCACAACAAGCCGACTTTCAGCCAGGTGAGACCCGCGACGGAGCCTTGAGGGTTAACGCCTCCCGGCCATTCCCCTCCCGTTGTCCATCATCACGAGGTCCCGCCTTTTCCGGATTGCTAAGGCGCACCCCACCACCGGCTTTTTTCTTGTCGGGCCTCTGCAGGTTCCTCCCCCTGCTTCTGGCCCCTCTCGCAGGACCTTGGCCACGCCCCCGTACGTACGAACTACACCGCTGGGCTGTCCGTGACTGCTAGGTTTCTCCCCTTCTGCTTTCCTTAGGGGCAGGCATCGCTGATGCACTCGAGGTGCTCAGGCTTCTTCTCTCTTGCCAGGTCTCACCCCTAACCTTCCTACCTCACCCCTTTGCATGAGCTCAGGCCCCGCCCCCTTTAAATTCTGTTCAGACCATAGTGCTGCTCAACCTGTACCGGAATCCACAGAACACCGCCCAAACCGCAGACGGATCGCACTGTGAGTGAGGGACTGGGCTTGGGGGGCAGGGCGGACAGCCCCCAGCAGGCCACCCCGATTTCACCCTGCGCCCTCCTCCAGGTCACGTGAGCGACGTGGAGGTGCAGGAACACTATGATAACTTCTTCGAGGTGAGGGTTGGCAAAGGATGGGTTGATTCCCTGTGGAACCAGGAGCTCAGCTGAGTTCCTCCTGGTCTTCCGCAGGAGGTGTTCACGGAGCTGCAGGAGAAGTATGGGGAGATTGAAGAGATGAATGTGTGCGACAACCTGGGGGACCACCTCGTGGGCAATGTCTATGTCAAGGTGCCTGCTGTCCCCATGTCAGAGCCTAGAAGTGGAGGCATTTCAGTGCTTAAACGCCACCACTGAAGCCTCACAGCTTGCGGGCCATCACTAAATCCAGCCCAGCCCCAGAGCTGCTAACTAATCCTTTCCTAAAGACTTCTGAGTTTGATTGGTGAACCTGATGGACTTTCCCCTCAGTTTCGGCGAGAGGAGGATGCAGAGCGGGCAGTGGCCGAACTCAATAACCGCTGGTTCAATGGGCAGGCTGTGCACGCTGAGCTGTCTCCTGTCACTGACTTCCGGGAGTCGTGCTGCCGGCAGTATGAGATGGGGTATGGGTGATGAATACCAGGGTGGAATCGGCACCTGGAGCCCCAGACTCCTGTGTGTTGGGGTGCTCTCACCGGCAGCAGCCTCCTCCATCCATCTACCCTCTACCCAGGGAATGTACCCGCGGTGGTTTCTGCAACTTCATGCACCTGCGGCCCATCTCCCGGAACCTCCGACGTCAGCTCTATGGGCGGGGACCCAGACGCAGGTACCTCAGGACCAGCCTGTCAAGACATCGCATACCCTAAGGCCCTTATATCATGAGATGGACCTGATCCTATGCCCCAGGAACAGCATCTCTCTTTTGTATCCTAAGATATCCTAAGACTGGCTCTAAGCACCATCCCAAGACCAGTGCTCGAGTCTCAATCCCTAAACTAGA